TTTTTCAGTAAACATAAAAGTAGAGAGCAAGATCATTCTCGATCTTCATCCTCTTCAGCATCACCTTCTTCTCCCAGTTCTCGAGAAGAAAAGGAAAGTAAGAAAGAACGAGAAGAAGAATTTAAAACTCACCACGAACTGAAAGAATACTCAGGCTTTGCGGGAGTTAGCCGACCACGAGGAACCTTTGTAAGTTTTAAAATCATCTTTGATCATTTGCTAGGACTTACTGTATGTAAGGAAAGTTAAGTGATGTGATTTAGATAGTCTCTGATTCATTATTCCTGCAGTTAGAATTAGTCTTGAAAGATGAAATGGTATTTGAAGTATCTTCTCCATTAAGAAATGCCACTTAGGGGGAGGGAGGAAGGGCTGGAGCTGGGATGATGCTTTTTTTTTGTACATAGAGGTAAAAAAAAAAAAGGTGCCTAATTAAAAAAGAATAAATGAAATGCATTTTGAGATCCAAAAGCATCTATATAAACTAGATACATTTCTACATTTCTTAACTTTGGAATCAATTACTGTACATAGTTCTTAAATATCCAAGAGTCAAGGGAAGTTACTGATTGAGATCCATTTTTTAAATCACTTAGTTTCGAAAGATTATCAAAAAATATTTTTAAAAATCTGTATGTTCATCTTTGTATTAGAACATTTTTATTTTTCCCTGTTCAAGTTCTTGTTTAAATGTGTATTAATCATAGAAATCATAACTTTCTATTCTGCATAGCATACATATTACCCTCATGTTTTAATAAGTTTGTTTTAATTATTAATTTAATGAGTTCATAGTGGCTCATTTTCTTCCTGACTCTTTGTTAGATTCACATTTCTACCTTGATTGAGTTCCAGTTGGTTATTATAGAGTTCATTGATTAGATCATTTGGGAAACAGAAGAGATTTGCTTATATGGTGATGGGTGTACTTGAATACTTGGCTCCTATGATAACTGAAGTAGACAACTCTTTTGGCTAGTCCAAGGGAAAAGAACTAACTAGATTATTTTAAAACACTAGTTCAGGCCATGAAAGTGTAGTATTCTAACACTTAGTTTTTGTGCATTTCTTCTTAATCTCACTTTCAAAAGGCAGGGTGTTGTGTTTTTTTTTGCCTGTGCTATAAAATGGCCACCCTTTTCCACACTCAGTGGCTATAAGTTGGGATTTAGGAAGAAAATTAGGGCATATGTTTTTTGTTACTACAGTAAAATTACAGTTTGCATGCAACTTAAATGCCTTTGATTGCATTACTAAACAACTTTGTTAATGTTAATCAGTTTCGAATTAGAGGCAGAGGAAGAGCCAGAGGAGTTTTTGCTGGGACAAATACTGGTCCAAACAACTCAAATACTACTTTTCAAAAGAGACCGAAGGAAGAGGAATGGGATCCAGAATATACCCCAAAGAGCAAGAAGTACTTCTTGGTGGGTGTTAGAAATCTGTGTTTATTTGGTTTGCATTAATTTTCAAAGCATACTGGGTGCAGATATCCACTACTATGATAAGATTTCACAATAATGTGGGCAGCCTTTTTAAAAATTCATTACCCAGATGATTTGAAGTTTTGAAAAATGTGGGTCCCTTTGGTCCTGTCTGTACTTTATTGACATCACCTATGGGCTGACCAGGGTTATCTAAAAATATACCTGATTTGATAGCCACATTCAGTGAAGAACATTAATATGTTTTATCTGTCTGTATGACAGTGACACTTGCAAAACCTCTCATTGAGATTTACCTACACCATCATCACAGGCAGTTGTTTAAATGAAGGACAAGGAGAATTCTACATGTAATTAAGGATTTCAGGGAGGCTATTAACTTTGACTGGAATAAAAGAAGAATGAAAAGTGACATGGAGAAGTTGCTAGATACACTAATTTGATGTTTCCTTGTGATGTTTTTCTCTCGGAGTAATTTTCTAAGGGATGAAACCAGAGAAGTTGGGTCCTGAATGATTCACTAGGTAGCGATGGAAATCTTCTGCAGTTTAGCATGGAGGAAAAGGGTCTGTCCTGCATTATAGATGCAGACTTCAGGAAACACTAAAACTGTTGCCAGAAGTATACCATACCTTGGTACTTAACGGTTTCAGAACCCGTCAAACCCTGTACTTGTCACATTTTGATAAGAACAAAATGTTACAGCACTTGGTGGTTTGCTCGGGACTCATCACACTTGCTGGAACTTGTATGAGTCATGATGCTGCCCTGCAAGAGAAAATGCTTTATAGTTTGGTACTTGTCTGTTTCAGCACTCGTCATGAGTTTCGAATTAATGACAAGTACCAAGGTACCACTGTATTCATTTTTCTCATAGCTTCTCAGGAAAGTCATGTTTCAGAGACTAATTAAGACCTAATTGTGTTGTTGCAGCGAGTAGGAATATAGTACTGGATTTACAAAATTGTATCTTTATTTTGGCTTTTATGAATATATACAGGGAGGGGCAAACGTAGGTTTATAGTTTATAGGTTTATAGTTGTGTGTAGGTTTATGTGGAACAGTTTATTCTTGTATTAGTATTTATTTTTGTATTTTCCATGGGATCAACTATAAACCTACTTTGGCTGCACTCTGTACTTAAATGAGCATGAATTTCCGTGGCACATCTAAGTTAGAGGATAGAGCTATATTCTGAAGTAGATTGATATTTTGTTTGGAGAATGGGCGTTATACTTAGTATTGAAATTTGTTCCCATTTGCCTCTTTTTGTGTGTACTTTTAACCACCAAGAGTCAAAAAAAATTAAATTTTCATACAGTGCATTATGATAATATTCACTCAACATACACTCCTGTAAGGAGAAATTGATGCTTGAATTGCTTCAATTTAGTTTGGAAAGTGAAAGGCCTTTTATTCAGTTACAGTATAAAGCAATTTAAAAGATCTGTTTCATTTTTGATTTAAGAAATTATGTATTAACCTACTATTTATGCTAGATCTGAAGAATGGGTAGCCAAATATAATTCTAATTTTGGGGTTAGAGACTAGTAATGGAGAAACAAGCATTCAAAATATGTATTGTGGATTTTCTCCAAACAAGGAAATGGTGGGTTATTGCAAAGGGAAGAGTTTGGAGAAACTTTGTAGAGGACCTTGGCTCAAATCTTGAGCTTAAAAAGATAGGCAGGTATACTGTAGGTAGCAGAATTGCAGAAATATCCTGATCAGAGAACTCCAGAACTCAGATGGTTAGATCATTGTTATAAGTTTGGGAAAATTTAAGAACATCAGGAGCCAGGTTGTGGAAGTGTGAATGTAAAGTAGTTTTTAGAAGAATCTTGGTTGTGGGAACAGATACATCTGAGTGATACTGTCTGAGTAAAGGGTCTAGATTTGAGACAAGTTGAGAGAGTAATATTTATAAGGACTTAACTCAAGGATCCACTGGTTGGGTGTTAGTAGTGAGAAGAAATTCTCTAAGATCCAGGGGATATAAGGGGATGATGCGTATTGAGGATATTAAGTTCTGTTCTTGAAATAGCCAGAAGAAATCAGGTAGAGATACACAATGCACACATGCTAATAAATGTTCTAGAGAGTGAGAGAGAAATACAGGGCCATCTTTTTACAGGTCATAGGTAAAGCCATTATAAGATCACTCAAAAGAGAAGGGGTTGTTAAACTGACTTTGCAAAGATGTGGTGAGGAGTGAATGATGGTAAAAATGCCAAAGAGTAGATCAAATGTGAAGGGTCAAAAAATGAAAAGGGAAATGAGAGGTTAGTAGATTTTTTTAAATACTTGTAATATTTTACAAATACTTAATTTAGGCCAGACCTTCATTTATCTCTGGCATTATTTCATAACCTGGTATCATATTTTTACCTTAAATTGGGACACAATCATAGGTTGGCCTGTAATTAGACAGCAGTTTTACTAATCAAGAAGAGTATTATTTTAAGAATTTAGTCACAAGTAGTGGTAACATTTTATATGTTGCTGTTCTATGTTATAGTTAAAATTTTTCCTTTCTGTATTAAGTATACAATGTGCATTTGTCACAGTGATGCTCACTAGAAACAAAAATAGCATATTAATACACTTATTTCTTAAAATCAATTCCCAAAATTAATATTTTGTTTCTTAATTAATGAACCAGTGAAATAACTGGCTTTTACATGGATATTTAAATTTAAAAGATTTTACAGTAAAGATAATTGACTTAGGCAGCTAGCTTTGAGAACAGAATTATAAACAAAAGTATAACTTGGAGGAAATGAGGTTGAAAACTATAATCATTCCCCTAGGTCCTTTTCAGGATAATTTACCAGCCTGGAAGGTTTGTCCATGTTAATGAAACAATACTAATAATGTTGATGAGAATATGTACTATGCTGGGCCTCATTATAAAAGCCTCTTGAGGTGGGGCCATTATTGCACTTTTACAAATGAAAAACACTGAGGTATACAGAGATTGAGTGGCTTCACCAAAGTTAAAAGTTGTATGGCTAGAAGAAGCAGAGTCAGAATTTGAACTCATGTATGGGCTCCAGAGCCTGGGTTTTGCAAGCAACATAATCATCCTTCCAGTACAGAGTAATAATAATATTTGTTGCACTCTTCTGAGCTTTCCCATCTTAAAACTTGGATTTATGCAGATTCTGCAGTGTTTTCAATAATAAGTATTCCAGGAGAGATAATAGTCTTAGAACCTGAAATTCTCTGGAGGGGCGAATATATGAAGTTGAAGCAAGTGGTAGAAGTGGGCAGGTTCTCAGTGCTCAGTTGATGTTGTATTCTGAGAAAGAGAAAACCACTAATGAGAAAGGGGGTTCAAGATTGGAGTTTTAGCCCTGGCTGGTGTGGCTCAGTGGATTGAGTGCTGGCCTGCAAACTGAAGGGTCGCTGGTTCATTTCCCAGTCAGGGCACATGCCTAGGTTGCAGGCCAGGTCCCCAGTAGGGGATGCATGAGAGGCAACCACAAATTGATGTTTCTCTCCCTCTGTTTCTCCCTCCCTCCACCCCCCAAAAATAAATTTTAAAAATCTTTTTTTAAAAAAGGATTGGCAAGTGTGCTTTATAGTTCCCTTGGCTTTGACTCTGTGCTAGAGCAATGTCTGTCCTTTTCCTCTGCATTGAAAGGACTATTTGTCCTTTTAAATGTATTTAGAAAGTCAGCACATTATTAAAAAGAAAGATTGGAGTTTTAATATAATTTAACAATTTGAAGCTTGATCATTCAATAGAGAAGAGATAAGGGAATACAGAAGATCTTGGTTCTCTAATTATGGCCTCGTTTTATAATATTTTTGACTGTATTATATATACCTAACTTCTCTGTCCTTTATTATTTCTGAAGTAATTAATTTTTATAAATTGTAATATTAAATTGTGGGTGTTAGAACTTGAGGATTAAGTTAGTATGCTTAACATCAAAATGTCACTTAGCTGCCAGGATAACCTCCGAAGTACACAGCGTAATGTTGCAGCCATTTTTTTTTTAACCCAGTTTCACATGATCATATATTCAAAAGTAGTAGTTTAACTCTCAGGTCCAGCTTTGCCACTAGCTTTTTTCTGTTTTCTACTTCCTGCTGCTTTGTATGGTAATTTTTTACCACCACCAGGATTCCTGGGAAGTGTATTTGGTGGGTGATGTGGAATAAGAGGTAGTGGAAAGGACTACTGCTATGGCCTTGAACAAGTGACTCAATTTCTCTGTGTGGTGTTTTTTTTTTTTGTTTTGTTTTTTGTTTTCATTATCTAAAGGGGGATTAATAACAGTATTTTGCAGGGTGTGGTTTTGAGGATTAAATGAGTACATAAATACATGGAAAGTGCTCAGAACAGTGCCTTCCCTTGGTAAACAGTATATAAAGCATTACTTTTGCAGTTTATTGAGTCCTTTCCTGTCACACACACTGGGCTGGGCACTTTTTACAGACCATCTAGGTATCCTCAGGGCTCTCTTATGTAAAATGAGGAAATAGCCACACAGTTTCTGTTAAGATACAAACCTGTACCTCTCACTAGAAAACCCATGTGCTTCTTCCCACAAATTCATGGAATACTGTGTAAAATACCACAAAGAAAACACAAATTCGAGTTGGTTGTGCTGATAACAAAAGGGAGCCTAAATTAAGTGATCGTGTGGGTATTATTTTGAGTGGCAGACTATTTTAAAAGTTTATTTTCAGTTTACAGTTAACTTTATGACATTGAAATTTAAACTTTTGATAGCTACTAGATTTTCTTTATGGAGTCATGTGTACCTCTAGCTAGTGATGTTTCATTGGTTTGGTCACGATAGATTCTTAGAAATTGGTAAGTGTTCTTTTACATGTGTAACTGCTTTTTAAGTCATGCAGGCAGGAGAGTGATCTGTATTACATGAGTGTGCACAAAGGCACGTTCTGTTTTGGAAAAGGTGCTCATGTAATATTTGAAAAAAGTTTTAGCGACTTTTGGGCATTTGACCAATACCAGTACCCCATAGATTATGCAACATTGTTTGCATTTATTCCTGTTTCATACAGGGAAATCATTTTGCCTTAGTTCCCATTTGGGTAAGTGGGAAGCAGCAGTTAATGAAATTATATTACAGGAGAACTTTGGCTATTTGTTTTGTATTTTGGGTGTAATACTCATCTGCTTGTCCACAAAGTCAAGTACTTTTTGATTTTGCAGATTGTTTTGATTAATACAATAATTTGTAATTTGGGAAACATCTTAATTTGGATACAGTTAATGAAAAATTATGGTTGGAATGTAATAGCTATAGTACTTCAGATTGGTGAAGAAAGAATAAGTTTGCAATATTTCTCTGGGGACCATGTCATCATGAATTGGGATGTGAGATTACCTAGCCCAGAGGATTGATATGTAATATACATTGATTGAGATTTATATATCAGTAGGATTTTAAAATCTGTTTCTACATGTAAAGTATCATTCATACCATCTGTTTTATTTAATGTTGATTACATTGTGATGTTTTTACTTGTCACATCTCTAAGGTAAATTTTTTTGGGAAAATACTGGTTATTTTACCACATTTACATGCAGTATAATTTGTAACAAGTGAGCCTAGGTTGAAATAATGGGAAAGAAAAAGTAAAAATCTGATAATCAGTGGTAATTTAGCAGTTGAGATTCTCAAAAATTATCTGAGCAGCTCAGATAATAATGCTTGGGTTACTAAGCAGTAAAATGTAATTATTTGCTTTGACAATAGAATATATTTTTTTGAAAAGTTGAGTTTTACTCAACTTACTGGTTTTGTTTTATTGTGTTTTAGGACATTAGCAGTCTCATGTACTAAGGCTTCAGAAAATTAATACCGTGACTTATTGGTTTGGGGGTATAGTCATTTTCCTTCAAGAAAGACATTTCAGTGACAATTGTTTTTAACCTTTCTGTAGCATGATGACAGAGATGATGGTGTGGATTATTGGGCCAAAAGAGGAAGAGGTCGTGGTACTTTTCAACGTGGCAGAGGGCGCTTTAACTTCAAAAAATCAGGTAGCAGTCCCAAATGGACTCATGACAAATACCAAGGGGACGGGATTGTTGAAGATGAAGAAGAGACCATGGAAAATAATGAAGAAAAGAAGGACAGGCGCAAAGAAGAAAAGGTAGAAATTTTCAAGTTGTTAGAGACTCAACATTTTGGGGGGTTTGCAGGGCCAGTCAATGAATTATTTAATTTTTAGGAACAATGATTATTATGGATCATTTTCATACTCTACACCTTTGCTAATCTTTGTCCTCTCTCTTTCTCTTTTTAGGAATAGTAAATCTGAAGTGAGATTGCAACAGAGAGCAGAACTTGCACCCATTGTTTGTTTGTTTTTTTTTTGTTTTTTTTTTTACCTGATTTTTGTTTTCAAATAAAGAATGTAAGCATTTTACTTAAATTTTACTGTTTGCAAGTAGTCTATAGAAACTTTGTTTTAAGTCTTCAAAGATCTTGGAAAAATAGTAGATTGTATGTTGAAAATTGTACTGAAATAAAGTAGAAAATTGTTACGTACCCTATTTGTAACTATCAACTTTTAAGAATACTTTTACTGTTTTTGTTACATGCATTGTAATTCTGCTTTGTCTATAAGATATGGTCAAGTACAACTCTGTGAAAGTTCTGATTCTCTTCCCTCCCTGTTTGTTAATGTTTATGCTGAAGTAAACGTTAGCTCTACATACAAATTTCGGGACAGAAGTTGTTTATAGAGACTGCACTAATTATTTTAACTGTAACCATTTGTTTTAACATTTTCCTTAATTGAAACACACTACATTGTAGGGTGACTAATTTTTGAAGTGTACCACTGAAAACGTTGTTACTTTGGTAAACTAAGCTAGTTTAACCCTTCAGGAAATGTTTAAGAATGCAAGCTAGTAAGATTGCAATTTATGAGGGTTTTTTGTTTTTGTTTTTGTTTTTAATTAACGCAAGCAGGGGTGGCCCATAAAAATCACTCTTAGGAGCCTTTACCATTTGGATTCAAAATTCATTATTCTCTTTCTATTTTTATTTAAAAGTTTGAGTCATGGTCTTAGCAGCTATTATTTGAGAGAGGAAACTGGATTGTAATAATACTGCAAATAAAAACCCCATTCCTACCAAATATTTTATTTTTCACAACAAAACCTGTTATCCATGCTAGTATGGAAGAGGATTATCCTGCAGAATAACTTGATAGGTTAAAAAGATGTACCAGATTTTATATCTTACATATTTATTTAAGCTTTTGGACAGCTGAAATACAAATTTGTTGTCTAACCATAAGAAAAAATAGGTGAACAACATACTGTTCATTAGTAGTATTTTACATAACTTGTTTTTTCAAATGTCAACAATAAAAAGTTTTGACAGGAAGTTTGTTGCAGAATTAATCTACCTTGGTGTTTTTTTGTTTTTTGTTTTTTTTCTATTTCAATTGCAGTTTGTAAAATGGCCTTTTATTTTTTTCTTCCCTAGGGTTCTACTTTTTAGGTAGATAATCTTGAAAATGTTAATTACCTTTATGCTTATGCTGATTGCTCTTAAAGGAATGAAAATCCAAAATAGTAAATCTCAATGTTAAGTATGCCTGCTTTATGAGCATATATAAAAGTAATCAAATTTTATTCAGCAATTAAGTTGTACATGTTTGCATTAAAAGGTGATAATGCTTATTCTGCTAGTGTAATCTTTTAAAGATCTTAAGTGTATGGCCCTTCATTGTCTTTTGATGATTTGCGATCTTTCTAGCACCTTGATTGCAGCCAGGGGAATTTGAATTTGCTGAGAGCTATTTTGGGGGAGCGGTAGGATGAAAAATAAACCTCAATATGTGATGATGTCCCTAAGATCTTTAGTGTTGCATGATTTCTCCTGTTAATTTGGTCTTTTCTGAAATTGTTAGAGCAGAGGAAATACTGTCAAAGCAAGTATGTATGTAGGATTGATCAGGACATAACGAATATTCTTCCAGTCAGATTAATTACATGCTAAAGCAATATGGATTTGATCTCCAGTACAGAATTTTCACAACCATTTTATTTTATACAAATAAATTTAGCTTTTAACAGTTATTTTGTTAAATACTAAGTCTGTATGCATGACTATGAAGTGTGGTGGTTCTTTCTGACTTAATAGGAAAAAAAGGAATTCCCTGAGAAATTATTTAATGGGCAGTGGGAATAAAGCTACCTAAGTCCTGCCAACAGGTCTTATTTCAATTGCAAATGCATTGCTTTAACACAGTATATGTAGGATACAGTAACTTTATTCTTTAAAAAAAAATTGAGGAAAGAACATGCTACCAGAATATAGTAGGAAGGATGATTGTGGATGTTACCTTTTTCAGAACCAAGCATATAAAAAGTAGTCTATGTATTTTTTTTTTAACCACAATTTAATTTTATACTTCATGAGATATTATAAAAATCAAATGGTTTCTCTTGTAAAGATACTTGTTTACAAATGCCGGAAAATAATAACTCTTGATGCCTGCATTAACAGATTTCCTTTTGCCTAGAGAAGGAAAATAAAAATGAACCAAAGGGTATTTCCAAAGCAGATAGCTGTTTAAGAAGGCCATGACTCAGTCTTTAGGTGTGTATACCTTTCAACGTCTTAGAATTTTAATACAAAAAGCAAAATATGTTTTTCCAATTTCAGCCTACTTTAAGGAATTACTA